GGGGGGGTTCTCTCCGTCTCATACCCTGCTGCATATGCTGGATTTTACTCTGAACGTAATGAAATTAGCAATACACTTAGCAGCCACCAGCCAGCTGTACATAATTGCAGTAATGAAACTGCTATACCTAGACACTTTCAGAGTGTTACCCATGCATGCTAGGTCATTATTGTAGTTGGACCAGTCGTGATTATCGTTGAAAATCTGCCGATGGCATATTTTGCATTATTTGTGCAATTCATTTACAAGTCAATTTGTTGGCACAGCAGTACATCACTTCCTTAGCCTGTGGTTCACACTTCCGACATACTTGTAGCAACTTTGCCTCTCCTGTAGCTAACATATTCCACTCTTGGTTCCAGTGGGCATGCGATGGTTTAGTGTACAGTCCTGTACCCTTGTCCACTGAAACGGTGCTCTGCAAAGGATGTCTTGGAACCAAGAATCATCTTAATAAAGACTAAACAGTGCTCACTATGTCTTGAAGCGATGCACCTGTTACATAATGACGTCACACTCTGTTTTACATGTGCGGTTTCCTACGGCAGTGAGGTGGGACGCAATCCAAAGTCCCCATAGCCTAGCGCACATGTAAACAGAGAGTGACTTCATCGTGTTTTAGGTCTGGTTGCCAGACACAAAAACCAGGAGCAGATAGCAGCAGACCGGTCTTGCACACTGGTGAAAGTCTGTTGCCGCAAATTTGCCCTCTTTCCGTGGGTAGATAAACAGCATAAAAACAAGTGGGTTTTCAGGAGAAACCCACTTGTAGCACAGTCAAGCATTTATGTGCTGTTTTCATGTGAGCCAACACACCTAGTTATGGCAGCCAATCATTGTCTGGTCTCCGTGGCAACAACGGTCAACCTCTGAGTGAAGTCATGGCTGTGACAGCGTACCGTGATGTCTCGGGCACCCTCTGAGGATGCGACGTGTAGATAGGGATGGCATTGGACTAGTGCCAATGCACCACAGAGGTCTGCAGTTCTCATTTTGGAACTGATGACCCCCCCCCGGTGCTGCTCCATCTTCAGAGCATTTGAAACCTGCAGAGAAGCATCTGTTTTGACCGATGTTTAACCAAGTAAAGGTAACGTGGTATTGCAACATAGGATTTTGGGTTTGTTTCAGCAATACTTAAATAACATGCGAAACGTCCCAATATTTTGTATTTTTTTGGGTTCTTTTTAAAATTTAATTTGTGCTTACTTGGTGCTATTATTCATGTTTGAACAATGTGCGATTTTAATATTTCTAACTTCTGTTGCTACACCACTGTGTTCAATCGCTGAAGTGATGGTTACAAGACTGGTGCATACAACATGTGCAACTTCTGAGAATTAAGATTATTTAATGGAAGGGAAATATTTCTTTTCTTAATAAATAAGCTGAAGCATTTACAAGGTTATGCTCTTAATTTCTTAGCCGGTAACCTTTGGCATAAATGTTGTGAGAGTCTGTTCGAGAACTTAAATTAATGTATGCATGTAGTAATGTTGTAGTCGAGATTTCTTTAATATGACTATTACAAAACCCCACAAAACAGTCACAAGACCAACACAAAGACCTCCAGTCTGAATTCACGTCACAAGCTTTTCATAAGAACTGTCAGCAGAAGTGTTCCTTGGTCATTTTTCGCCCAGTTACTTGCGATCTGGTCTTGTGCTTGGTCTTGTGTCTGGGCTTGCAAATAGTTTTGTGATGAACTCGACTACAACACCGGCATGTAGTTGTACCAACATGGGAACTTCAGTCATGCACAGAAGCTCTCTCGTGATTCAACAAACATGTAACTCAGTGCTTCTGTCCATCAGCTTGGTAAAACCAGGCAGGTACGTCTTAATTATGTAAACGTAACTATTCAGGACATTGTTATAATGTTTCGTCCATAACTTTTGGCACTCGTAAGCTGTGTTCCAAATGCCACAAGTCTTTGTGTTGATCAGGGTTGCATAGCTTTAGTTTCAAAGTTGAAAAGGAGGGCAGTTTGGGGGTTTTGTAGGATCAGGAAAGAGTAACCGTTGTTATTAAAAAATTTCATTTTGTTTATCACTTTTTGACGATAGTATTATCCATGCCTGGTCAAAAAGGTTGAAACAATTTCAGGAAGAAAGACTTAAAGCCGCCAGAATGTCACATTGTCGTCCAACTTTTACCGTAAGTGTTGTATACCATTTGAAAGCTCTCTATCCTCTGAATCAAAAGGAAAAACTCTCAATTTCAAAATTTCCTACATGTGGCTCAGCTTGTGACAGGTCACGTATTTGTTGACCGCTTCAACTTGATATTGGGGTGAATTTCTGTGCGGGAAGCCTCTCACACGGCTGAAAGTCGGTGAGCCATGGAATCAAGAACAATATCAAATACTTGTGCGTGTGTGGTGCATACATGCATTGTGCGAATGCACAAGTGTTGGCCCCAACGTGTGTAGCCATCTTAAAGAGAAGGTGTTTTAGCACAGCGTGCATACGCTCTGTGAGGAGGCTGCATAAGTGTAGAAAATATATGCTTGAAAAGAACCTGCTTACCAGCCAGAATGTATTAAGCGATGCGAGTGTCAGATGCTTCGCCCGGGACAGTTAATTTACCAAGACAGATTTGTCTGCTTAACAGCTGTAGTCAGTGAGGGCGGGTTTCTACCCATGGTTGCTTAGTTCACGACAGGCTTGTGCTCTAACCTTACATACCTGGTGTGGACTTGTGAACGAGATGTCCATACAAATAGGGGAATGTTCTGTGGACTTACACGTGTCCACAGGACGTTCCCCCTTCTCTGAAAAAGAAGTTCAGAGGCATTTTGGGGTAGGGGTCATCTGTCGTAAAAGATAGAGGAATAGTCAAGGAAACCTTGTACAAAAAGCCAGCTGAAAATCGTGTTCCCAGTTCAAGAAAAACAAGTATTTTCACTGAGTTTTCTTAACTGCACGAAAAGAATGTCCACACTAGGCATGTAAGGTGTGTGTTTGTGTAGTAACTGGACTCCCACTGAGCCAGTATGCTTATATTTCAAGCAATCCTCTTTATTGATAATTACTATCACTCAGAACTTTCAGAAAACTTTCTTGTTCAGAGATAATAACTACTGTGTCATGAAGTCAGCCACTGCATCTTATTAATGTACAGAACCCTGGATGCTGTTATGTGTAAAGTTAACCTGTATATCACCTGTACAAATATAAAACTGCAAAGGTTGCTATAATGTGAAAGTGAGGCTTGTACAAATGTCATTGTTCGAGATGAATGAAGATTATTCAGCATGGAATGCCTACGAAATTTGGGGCTTGGATTGGGAAGAGTACAAGTTTAAAGGGCACATCATGTTTTCAAGAGTGGAAAATTCTCAACCTGTTTCCCACTTCCTTTACACTACCCCACCTATCTTTGTGCCGCCCACTACTTTAATTGCATATTTTAGGGGAGTCAATAAACTTAGAGGAGTGAACCCCTCCCCAATTATAGTCTGAACCCAAGTAACTGTTAAGGAGAAATGAAGACACAGGGAGTCCTTTGGGTTTGTGTTCAGAGAGCACTGGCACAACAGGCAGACTTATTGATTCTGAATGATGGGCATGTTCTTAATTGGTGATTAATGAAATGGGCTGATGGATCTGAGAATTGGTGATGATCGGTGATCAATGGGTGATCTCTGACCATAGCAGATCGTTCATCCCCAGCCAGCCCACACTTTCCGTTTCCCGCGGTTGCTAAGTTGATTCGCAGCAGGCTCGCTTGGTGGTGCCCTTCATTACTTAAATTGCAACAGTAATTTCTATTTGAAGCATGGCAGGTACAGCAGGGGTGCTATTTGAAGTGAGTAAATTTGGAGTAAACGCAAAAGATTCTGGACTGGTCCCCGGCCCCATCGCGTCGACAGGTGCTATTAAGCCCTGTCAGTTTGGATGCTGAATATTTCAGTTTTTGTCAGGCCAATAGCAATGCTTTAGCATGAAATACGTTTCACCACGGAGGCAAATAAAACACAAGCACCTATCCTTGCTAATTAGCCCCTGTTGATTACAGTGTGGTAATTTATTTTTCAATGATTATCGATAAATCGTTTTACAGCAATTTATTTCTAATCAGTGGTTATTGTGTTTGATTTTAGACAAATGATTAACTTATGGGGAAGTTGTTTTGAGGAACAAAGAAGAAAAAGCAAAATATGCTACCAGCTCCAGCTTAATTTGCACATTGAGCAGGTATCGTTTCCTCATTTACATAAGCCCGGCAGGATTCTGCTGGATTCATTACACGCTAGCCTACCGGCCCCTACAGGTGCCATGTACCAATTCAAGGAAAATTCTCCACCAGGCAGAAGTGCTTCAAAAGTACCCTACAAATTCTTTTGAAAAGAGGAGTCTGTGTGGGCCAAGAAATTGTGGGATTGTGTCAGTATGGCCCAGGATCGTCTGTAGATTCAGGGGCACCCATCTGGGGGAAAAGCAGACACAAATGTGATTGAAAATTTGTCAGAAGAGCCTGAGAAAGGTGAGGGACGTCATTTGAAAAATGGCTGCGGAGAAAACTTGGGACCATTCACTTTTTGGGGGTGAGTTGATAATTAAAAAATTCATCAGTCAACCTACTAAAAATTGAAAATCAAATGAAATCTGAAGGAGCAAACAACACATCGTTTTTTGTTTGAGAGGCCTCAGGGACTTCAGTTGCCTGCCATGGGGCTCCAAACTTTGTTGATTTTACACTATTTTCAATGGAGCTCGAATTGGTTCAGTGTACCCCTACATTCTGAGGATGTCTGTAAGACGTTTGGAGACTATACCTATGGGATGGGAACCAGTCTAAAAAGAGTCTACCCAAATCAAATAGCGCCCTCTGTTGTATTGCCATACCATAAATAGGTTGATGGAACAACAGACAATTGATCGGAAGGCCCCCCCCCTTTCCTTTCACCATCACTGGATTCGTCATCAACCAATACATAGGCAATGTTCTCACAGGCAGGAGTCCTTGGAGTGGAAGCGAAAAATTGGGGATTTATTCTGCGGTGATCTTTCAACTGTTTCAGGAAATTCAGGGATTCCACAATCACATGCTTCGTCCTCCCATTCAATACTTTTTTTTTAATGCCATTTTTGGGGAGGGGACTGAGGCTTTGTTTCGCCACCCCGCCATTTCTCCACCTTAGTCTAGGATCTGTCAAGTCCCATCCTTATGGTGAACTTCTCTTGATTATTTACAGTTATAAGAAAAAAGTCATAACGAATGTTCACTGAAACCGACAGCCAATTTGCCTACACTATACTCGCCAGCTACTACATACGTAGACCACAATGTCAATGATGCATGATTTAACGCCCAAAATTTAGAGCCCCGCGCGCCCCACATGACGCTCTAGACCACATGATGCTAACCGCGAACATTAACAGTTCGTTGTGTGTAGTTCACTGAACCATGGTATCGATGAGGAGTATCGATACTGGGATATGCTGTTATAAATAGCACACACCGCACCATACCAGTGTGGCGCAACACCAAACGGGATATACGCACGTTGCAGCTTGAGAAACATGATATACATGAACATGTAGATCAACGGACAAGCGTCGACGGTGTGACTTCACAATCTCACCTTGGTAACTGGACATCGACACTGAACACGTTCCTAAAGATCAGACCATCACATCAGCTATCAGGATGTCACCTACTATCAAAATGAAATAATTGTCCACCGAAATCCAGTGTGGTTATTCACTTGGAAAAATTACTGCTAACGTGTAGGTGGCAACTTCATGACATCACCGCACCCGTAACTACGAATTGTGTACGCGAACAAGGTGCTTCGCGCTCCTCCACAGTGTGCACTTCCGTGTCGTGGACGGTGGGCCATCACCAAACTTCAGAAGTTCAGTTCTCTTAGCTGTACGCTTAATTGTTCACTGGTCAGAAAAAAACTTGTCAGTCCTTGGTGTTTGTGGGCCCGTTGAGTGCCCAAGTGAAGTGACAAACATGGCTCTTGCGGCTGCCAAGATACGGGGAATGGTCAGCAAGAAGAAAAGGCGGTATGTCGATGAGAACTTTGATCTGGACTTGAGTTGTATCCTTTTTAATTTGTTACAAAAATAGTTGTTGCTCCAATTCGCTTAACAGAGGGATTTTTTCATATTGTTTTATGGCATGAAGATTGAATGATATTTGTTTTTTTCTTATTATAATCTTAATAAAATAAATTCCATAGGGCTACAATTATTTAATTGGAAGAATTCCATATACGGACAATGCTAATTTTCCCTTAAAATGTTATAACAGCCTCCAGAATGTGATAACATGTCCTAAAAAGTGAAATTTAGCATAGAACACTCCAAAGCATTTACTTAGAAAAACAGTTGTTCCTTTCAGACAGGTCTCACACATGTAGGTGTTTGGGCAGCTGCAGCAAGTATTGTCCGTACATGTAGATAGAACTCTTTCCTTATAATTTATAGATGGTTGGTTGTCATGGGTGTGCAATTTGACAGGTGGCAATGCTGTTTTCAAATCACTGTGCTAAGTGTGTTTCCAACATCATTTCGATATTGCTAACCTGAGCTGTCATATTCACAATGGCACCAAAGCTGATCCAAATCTACCTTGGTACCAATGAAATGTAACGAAACTTGTGATCTGCCGAAATCTTGAGATGTATATGGCAAATACTGTGATTCACTGCAGCAGGAATCGTGTGCACCTGCATCACATCACGTTACCCCACAAAATTACTTCATAGCAAGTGCATGTAGCTTGGCAGCACGTGGTACATTTACCTTATGTTGTGCATACAGCAAGATCATGTATAAATACACATGTTCACACTGTAGTTATGGCCTCGGCATTTCAACACCACACAGTTAAGCTCAGTGGAATTTTGTATTGCCCCCTGAGCTTATCCAAAAATCCCTTGTGAGAATGAGGATAAGAGTGTTGGGCAGCAGGTCTATGGATCACAATAATTTTATTGCTTTTGCTGCCCGTGGCCCATCTGGGAGTACTAATCTGTTTTGTACTATACTGATTGCTTTGTATGGACCTGTCATGTCTATTGCTCTGGCCAAATAAATAATAAAAATAATAAATTTCAATGAGTAGGCCTACATGGCATTTTACCTGGTACATGTACAAGCAGGCGTACGGGAAATAGTTATGTTTGATCACTTTGAAAGGGATACAAGAATAATTACGCGAGCTAGAACAATATTGCTTGAGTTGAAGGTGTTATCACTTTATGACGGCTGTTACATTTCAAGGAAGAAGTAGTGTTGTCCTTGTGTGGAACTCTTTCCCAAGTTAGCGAGTACAATATATTCTTGTATACATGTATGTACCCCCTAACAAGCCATCCAGTACCGTTATTATTCATGTCAGGCTGATGGTTGATTCAAGCAGAATTCATTTTGGTCACCAAATCAGGTTGTTCTGATTTGGCATCCAACTTTGCGATTAGGTATGTTCACAGTTCAGAAGTGTTAATACTGTGGTGAGGTGTGTGCAAAATAACAGATGTATGTGTTAGCACACAGGTGCAGTATTGCCATGTGCCGTTCACTGGTTAACCTCTTGAGTTTTTGGCCCTCCACTGATAACGAATCAGCCCAGTTATAAATTCCAGAGGAGAATACCAAAAATATGTTGTCCTTCTTTTGATTAAAACCCCACAATGTGCTGATTTATATTTAGTGCATAAAAGCCCAGTGTGATTAATGATTTAATACTGAGTACACATCTGAGTTCGAGTATGGGTATGAGTGTTACAACTCCAGTACAGTCTAAGACAATGCCCCCTCCCGTTTGTCATTGCAATCAGGTCATTCATGCAGCAACTTCTCCCATGAGGTGCCCAGTGCAGAATTAATTCATTCAGTGACGCATCTCAAATTGTTGCAGTGGCATTCCGTTGTCATTGTTTGTCCCTCATCATTCACCTTGCGATTGACTTGCTTGAAACTGTAGCAGTCCTTTGTCCGTTCTTTATAAATGTCCTTCATTTCATTTATTTAATATCATTTGTATCCAAAGTAGTTTATTGAAATACATTGAAATTCGTTGTGGTTTCATTAGATCAGCATACTGCTGACAGGTTGTCACTATACGTGTGTACTTGTACACGTACACTTTTCGTTTGTTTGCACTGTGTGAAGGGGACGTTTTTCTCTAATTTCAGCAAGTTGCTCTTGGATATGACCTATTTTGAATTAAATCAGTGGACAGAACATCGTTGACGTGGCAAATGCAGTTGTAAAAATTCCATACAAATCCATATGCAAGTTCTAGAACCAAAACTGTTGCTCAGCAGTAACAGTGCACAAAAGTACAGTACTTCATCCTGTAACCGGACACCATAATGATTTATTTTTAGACCATGTATTTTTAGAGACACATTAACCTGTCTGTAAAGTATAAAAAGTTATCATCTGAAAACTAGTCACAGACTATTTACAGCACATGACATGAAATTGTTGGAACACCCCTTACTGTGCCGTGTATTATCGTATCTGTACTGAGTCTGAAATCATGCCCAGTACTTTGAAATGTACCAGTACATGTACATGTACATTAATACGTAAATCTGAAAATACCAGTGTAAATGGAAAAAGTGACAGAAGCTGATGTTGTAATGGGAGGGGGATACCACAGTATTTGTCTTTGCGGAGGCCAAAGCACCCCTGCCTTGATAAAGGGTAGGCAAGGTCAGCGAAGGTCAACAATCGTTGGGTGACCCCAGGGGATGATAATGATGATGGCCAGTGGTGAGGGTGCAGGTGATTGTACTCCAGGTTGTACTTTGGTGGTTGGGGAGAGCAGGCGTGCTGTCAGTCAATGGGATATGATACCAGTGGAATGTGTCCAAGCCCAGCCAGGGGTTTGTTGTAGCCAGGCAGCGGTGGTGGGTGTCTCTCCCCACTCTGGAGTGATGGATGGTGCTGGGTGTGTGGTTTTTGTGGTCAAGGTCATTTCAGTGGGTTCATCTCCAGAAGCATTGTGCACTGGGAGAGGGGGTGGCATGAGGGTGACACATGTACATCTTTTTGGGGGGGGGGGAGGAACAGGAGTCCATGGCAGATGCCAACTTCTGGGACTGATTTAGTCCGTCCAAAGGTGACAATCATAATCTAGCTGTACACCTCCGTCCTCAGGTAGCATGTTGAACACATGCAGACAGACCCAACATGAACTTTGTCCTCGATACCATTGAGGTCAGTTATTTTCATTCATTCATTCATTCAAATTGGTTTATTAATAATCATGCCTCGCAGCGTCAGCTGAATTGAACATGATTTACAAAGTTTAAAACATCACAAACTATAAACAATTAAACATTATAAAAAAAAAAAAGAAAAAAAAAGAACAAAAAACCAAATTACAGAGAAAACATCTTATATAGACACAAATAAGAAAAAACCGTTCATGGTTAAAAATACAAATTTACAAATGAGTTGATTAAAATGCCAGTACACATGTAACTAAAATTCAGTTTAAAATTGGCAAAACAAAAAAGGCCCATTTAAAAATTGTAAAAACAACCAAATATGCAAACAAATCATTAAATATTATTATTATTAATATTATTATTTTAATCTGTCATGCAGTGTCCTATATGGAAGGGCTTGTATCGTCCTTGAGATTTTTGCAGAGAATGACAGAGGCAGGGCACTTTCTCCCCTGGAATTTTTGTCATGGTTCTAGATTGCTAGATGATGGTTACGTGTAATGAATCTTTTTGAGGATCAAAAAACATTGCACAGGACTATAGGTACATGTACGTTAAAATATGGTCATCCCTTGTCAATGTACATTGTACATAGAACAGACCTGTGAAACAGCAACTACATGTATCTTGATTTCTTTTAGAATTGTTAATGCATATTTTGTCATTTCTGTAACTTTAGACCGACACAGTATAATTGAGTACACTCGTACATGCAGTGTACACGTATACATGTACACATACTGTTATAAATTATGCTATCAATTTTGATTTTTCCAAAATTCTATTTTTATATAAATTTGATTTCGTGTAGGCCATTTTAAAGTATTGCTTCCCATGATCCATTTTTACTTGAAATTGAACGACTCCTGGGGCCATTTTCATAGAGCTGCTTAAGCACAAAATTTACTTAAGCGCGAGAAAACCTTGCTTGATAAATCATGTAACCAACCAAAACTCCATGTGATGTATACATGTACATATTGTTTTGGGATTGTATTTAGCTGTCTTTTGGTTAGCGTGAGTTATCGAGTTTGAGTAGGTAACCTTTGTTTTTTTAAGCAAGGTTTTTACACTTAAGCAAATTTTGTACTTAGGCAGCTCTATGAAATTGGTGCCTGATGTGTACTCGTACACATGTAGGTGCACATGTGCTATCATATACTGTACATGTACACGAAAACGCATAGGATGTGTACGTGACACATGTACAAATACATGTAGGCCTGTGTTAGTCGCTACGCTGTGCAATAGTCACTGTCAAACTCACCGGTCGTTGACTCTGTTGACAGCAGATGGCTTCCCTTAGTGACCATGAGTTTGGGCATCATCAAGAAACCCGTCACCAGTTTCTGAATGCATCCATTGTCAAACTGTGTCTCTACTGTCTCACTGAAATTGTCTCAGTCTTTTGTCAGTTTGTTTTTTGTTTTCTTAGAATAGCAAGAGACACCTTGCCCAAAGGTAACCCCCACTGGTACGGTAGTATTGCCAGTACCAGTACATATTATCTAAGCTGTATTATAAAAGATACCTCGGGCATGATTTCTCTCCGATTTGTTGCTTTTGTCATGCTTTTAAGTGTCACCCTAAACTGTACATAAAGTAGGAAGTGTTCCTTTGCTTGGAATGTATCCATTGCTCTTTTTTTTTCTGCCCTGAATTGCTGTTTGGATGTCTGAAGTTTGGGGATGCTAACATCCGGGAGGTGGGTTTTTTTGGTTCATTGTCTCTTTCCTCCCACTCAAAGGAGTTTCTTGCAAAGTCCGTCCACCTCCATACCACACTCACAAGGGATGACCTCACTGAGACAGTGGAAATGTCTTGCCCCTATTGAATGAGCTAGATAAAGACTC